GTAAAGAGTGACAGTTTGGGGATATTTGTCTCTCCACAAAACGTAATGCTTCCCTGTATCATATGGTAGTTATGCATCGATCAAATGTTTTCCAACCGGTACAGTTCAGCAGTTTTCCTTGTGGTCTGATTGCCAATTTCAGTTTTGATCCTTAACACAAAGAAGAGAAATAATACACATTTTTTTTAATACAGCATTTTAACTCATGCTAACCTTTGGCTGATTTTTTTTTATTTTTTTATTAAACTTAAAAAAAGAAACACACACACTGTAAGGTTAGTGTATGTGTTTATATAGAACAATAAATATTGGGAGACCTGAGTTTTAATGAAATATTCAAGATTCCCAGAATTTAAATCAATCAAGGATTCCAGTCTATGGCAGACTGACTGGAGCTTCTCTGTCAACACGGATTGTAGCTCTGCCTGAATTCATCAGCAAATGTTACCCATGTGTTTATCAGAAATAAAATTCATAAAAATGAAGGAAGAAAGGGAGAAGCAAAAACCGAACAGTCATTTAATCAATTTAAGACATAAGTATAAATGTAACATATGACTTAGTAGTTATGACTTACTACATAAGAGTTTGTCATTTAGCAATAGTTTCTATAGTAACAGCTTTAACACTGCAACAGAATAAATTTGCCCCGACAAATAAAACACTCTGAAACTGAGTTATGTAACAACATTCTAACATCTAATATTCTTCCACAAAGGTAATCACTATCAAGATTAAAGCTTAGTGGGATTAAGTTTTTCTTTCTAAAGGATTCAAAATAAATGAACCCCGGCAGTACTAATGTTTAGCTGGAACAACATTCTCCATAATTTCTACTGGCAAACAATAGAAACTCCAGAGGAAGCATTCACAGCTACATCTAGCTGTTGCCAATCTGCATAATGAGATCAGAGGTTTTGATGTGCAGAAAAAACAAAGGAAATATAAATAATAAAATCTGAATGCCTGGTAAGTTACACTGGCAAAATAAGTTTGAAATATTTATAACAAGTCTAGTAGCAGCCATCTTAGTATTTCCTTTAGATCTGTTTAAGGCTGGTAAACAAATAAGCCAAAGATAACTCCCAGTGGGCCACAAAAGAAAGTTCTGATGGCAAGAATAACAGCAAATATTAATTTTTTGGGAAAATCAATAATGATTTGTGTTTTGGAACCTCCGAGGAGTAAAATGTGACCTATGTGTCGTTGCCTGGGAAACTGCCGGAGTTATCCGAGCAGCACTGCCATCAGATTCCCTTTTAATTACTGCTTCCCTAAAGTACAAGTTATCAGATGAAGGTCAGTTAAGCATGAGCGTGCCAGTGCCTGGGAAAAAATGAAAAGGGCTGAGTATACAACAAAACACATTAAAAGAAATAGAGATTGGGTAGTCATCTGAAAGTACAGCTGAAGATGGGAAGGAAGAGATGGACAAGATCAACTTCAGGGAATTTACCACCCAAAAAGACAGCTAAGATCCCTGCTCCGTTCATACCGGGGAGGATTGCGGCTAGCAATGAAGACAAATTCTAAAACTAAGTATGGAACCACAAGAGATCCGAGAACACCAGTGTGTTGGACACTTTGTTCCAAGTCTATTACCAAACAAATCCTGAATACAAATACGAACAACAGACCACCTGGTGCACCATCTGACCAAAACAGACAGCGACAACAAGCCACCTTCTTAGATTAAGCCATTTTTTTTTTTAAGTCTTGCAACTTGTTGATCATTTTAATTGTAAAATTGTCTAGTTGTTTTTGTCAAATAGGTTGCATTTACATAACTCTCTCCTTCACACAGAAAAGCCATTCACAGCCCCATGCCCAATCTGCCCTTACAGAGTCAAGATGCCAGGAGGACAATGCTACTTTCAGCCACACATAACAAGCTGCAGCTACAGTCACACAGTCCCTTACTGGGATTTTGTGTTAGACCAACACAAAACAGTGTATAATTGTGAATTGAAAGGAAAGCTATAAAAAATGTTCACATGTTTTGCAGCATGCCTGTGTATTCAGCACCCCTGAGTAAATACTTTGTAAAACCACCAAACTGGTCAGGACTATTTAAATCTGTTGGATAGCATTTATCTTAAATTAGATTCTCAATTAGATATGGATGTGGATGGAGGCAGATTAACATGTGGAGTAAACCATTCTGTTATAGCTTTGGCTGTATGTTGCAGGTTGTCATCAAGCTAGAAGATAAAGCTTTTTTTTTTTTTTTCACAACAGATTTTCTACCAGGATTGTCCTGTCTTTTGCTCCACCCATCTTCCAATCAAGTCTGACCAGCTTCCCCTGAAAGCTGGCCCTGCTGAAGAAAAGCATCCACCCAAAGGATGCTGATGTCAGAAGGGTTAGGTGTGTTTGGAGGGATGTGCAGTGTGTGTTTAGTCACAAAAGATTTCTGCATGCAGGCCATGAAGTTCACTTTCTTCTCACCTGGCCAGACCAGCCATCTTTCAGAAGTCTGCTGTGTAGACATCTGAAAGTCTACCAGAAACAAGTCTAATCAACATGGGTTTTTTTCTATTATCTATCAGATTTTTGGAATTAAACTACCAGGAATGTATTTTAACTCCAAAAATCCCATCTGAGCAGAAATCCACTGCTTTCAGCTGGTCAGTGGATTTCTGTAACTTGCCAATGTAGGTTGATAGCAATATCTTCTTGGTTGCAGTTGGCTTCAGGAAATGGGTGAAACATTGCTCCATCCCTTGTTTAAAGATTGGAAATACTGTTTTATCACCTAATCCTTCTGAAAATCTTTCTAGAAATGATTGCATTCCTTAGTCTTTATCCTGATGTTTGTTCACTAACGTTCTCTAACCGAGGACTTCATGGCGTAAGTGTATTTTCTTATCAGGTGATTTCTTGTTTTAAAGGATACTCCCACGTTGTGTTGAGTGTCGTTTGCCTTCGTCTTCCAGTATGTTACTTTGTGCATACAACACATACTTCTGCCCAAGATAAACTGTAATTTTTGGTTGTAACTTGACAAAATGTGAAAATAAATAAATGAATAAATAAAAAAAATTAAAAATCAAGAAGTATAAATACTTTAGCCAGAGTTATCCGAGCTAAAGTGTTATATGTACTTTGAAAATTATGTCAGCAATAAAAGGATTCAAGAAACTGAATCATGACTTTGAGTAAAATTATATTTTGGATGAAAAAGAGCAGGATGCTAATTCTGTATTTTGATATTGATTTAGACAAGAAGACTTGTGATGAGGTTGAAAGGAAGTTATTTCAGCTATACAAACATAATTGTACTTTATATATAGTGGTATTAATTAGTTCAAACAGATGGTCATGATGTTCTCTTTTTCTCTGATATTTATGTCCCTGACTGCAGTGAACTGCACACACTTAAAGTGTGACAACATTTTAATCATTATGTAATGCAATACAGTAACTTCTTCCTTCTGCTTGCATAAAACAAAACAAGACCAATACTTTCCTTTTTTTTTTTTTTTTTTACTAAAAATGTGTCTAAAATGCTTTAACAACCACAAGAAAGATTTTAGCTATCAACGTCAAACTTGGTTTCCAAAAATGTACTGTTAAACCTGAAGCCCACCAACAAAGATTATTTACTGTTTACAGTAGCTGTCTGACTGTTAGATTGTTGATTTAGGTTTACAATGTAACTACACAAACAGTCAAGGCAAGTTAAGACATGTCAGAACAAAGTCCTTCCATTTTAACCTGTGGAACCATGTGACTGACTGATTGCAAATGGAGAAAAATTAACAAAATAGTTAGGAAGGTCTGAGTTGTTAAAAACTAAGTTGACTTAATTTGGAACCAGTATGCTGACAGAATACAGATACAGCCTTGCAAAACAGTTGATCCATAACCCTCAAAATATTTCACCAATGATGACCCGAGCAACATTTGACCAGCAGGTATTCTATGAGCAAGTAAATGAAGGAACAGACTACTGACGTCCCAGAAAAGGTTTTGAAAATGACAGTAAGCTCAAATAAATATTTGCTCCTACCCAGACATGTTAAATAAATTCTGAGTGCACAACATATTATGTTCATGTAGTAGTTTCAGAATTTCACATAAACAATATGAAAGTGCATCGTTCCTTGAAACAACAGTTCAGGTCAGTGTTTGTGGTGAAAGGGATATTTCTAATCATATTTTGGGCCACTTTGTAACCACTACAGCATTGTTTTAACTCTTATTGTTGCTGACCATATCCATCTTCTGATGGACACTTTCAGCAGGATAATCCAGCAGCACATCACAAAGATCACCTTATCTTGTTGAACTGTTTTTGGTTTAAGCCATACAATGAATTTACAGTACACTCATGGCCTTCAGAGTCACAAGACCTCAATACAACAGAGTCTGAAAGACTCAGTGGTATGAGTTTTTCATGAAGGATGTGTAGAGGATAAATCTGCAGCAACTGTTAATAGTGGTATTGATGAATAATATTATTTCTCGTGGATTTCTATCTCCATGCTTATCCTAACTTCCTCCAAATGATGTGGGCCATTTTATTGTCTGAGGATAAGTATTATGTTTGCAACTACAACAGATTGAAACCCTTTACGTCAAAGAAGCAACTAACCAGGCAGGCTCATGAAGATAATTTAGTTTCATTCAGATTATCTTGGTAATTTCCGACCGTTTTCACTGAAGCCGTTCTCCGTCTCTTCATTCCTAGCTGCCTTTTCCATTTCCCATTCCCCATCTTTTGACTAAATCAAATGCACCCCTCACCCATCCTCCTCCCAGCATTGCCTCCCCTTCCTCCTTCCACCAACGTGGCACACGCCACTGCAGTGATATATCCATGTGACTCACCACAAGGGACATTCAACTGTGAAAGTGCAGAGTCCAGTGACAGCTTTTACACAGTAACAAGCAAATTGTGCAAATCCATGCCACCCCCCATTTCTAAAAATAGCAGCAGTGCCATAGTGGTAGCTTAGAAGAATATTGTTTGGTGAAATTATCACAAGAAAACTGACCTGAAAAGGGAAAATGTTATCACGACCTACTCCATCATCCATCCATGACTTTGGGTTGAAGCCGGCGGGACTGTTTCTGGGGTACTTCTGGGATGCCACGTGGTTGTTAGGGAAGGTCTTCTTCAGTGGAGAGATGGAATTGATGGGAGTCATCCCTCCATTAAGCCCACGACGATAATCTCGGCCCTGAGATCCTCCCCAGCCACCGCCTCCACTTCCGTAGCCTCCTCCAGGACTCCAAGAGGTGGAGGAGCCAGGGGATGGAGAGGGGCTCTGGTAGCTGGCCGGACCCCAGGGGGATGGGGGCTTGTTCAAGCTGTTGGACAAATGCGGCAACTGGTTGAAAGCCGGATTCCTGTGCGAGAAGGGTGGTGGTGGGTGGGGGGAGGCTGGGGAGCGTCGGTGCTGCTGGTGTTGGTTGTGGGGGTGTTGGAAATGGGGGTGAGGCGGCGGGGCAGGGTGGTGCTGGGACAAGGCCGGAGCCGGTCCAATCTGGGGTGAGAAGTTTCCCCCAAACCCCGGGCTGACGTGGTGTGAGAAGTTCTGGAACAGCAGAGGCCCGTTGTTAGCAGAGGCTGGGTTAAAAAAGCTGACGTCCTCGTTGATGATTGTTGATGGTGCAGGTGGGATGGCAGCTGACCAGTTGTTAAAGCCAGTAAGGGATGACGAGGTTGTGCTCGACTGTACCGGGCCTGTTCCACCTAGACCAGATGTCTCTTGATAATCAAATCCAGTCAGGACAGGTGACTCAAGACGAAGCTGCTTCTCTTTTCCGTTGCTGCCCTCTGACGTGCCATTCTCTGTCTTGACTTCCTCTGATCGGGATTTTTCCAGTTCTGCAATTATCCCGCCACCGCTCCCAGTCTCCTGGTGACCCCCAGGAGATAACTGCTGCTGTTTTTCTTGAGTTTCTTGCATTTCCTGTTGCTGCTGTGCTTTGGGCTTCTCTGCGCCCCCGAGGATTTCGTCTTGCACACTGTTGTGGGTGGCAGAGGTAGGGAAGAGCCAGGGAGAACCTCCCGTAGTGCCATTCCCTGTGGCTGTAGTGCTGTTTATGAAAGCAGCGGGGCTCTGAGACACATTCTGGTGGTGGTGCTGGGGCTGCAAATGCGGGTGGATTCGGACCGGGAAAGCAGACTTGTTGCCAGTGTTGTTTTGAACTAGGACTCCGAACCCGTAATCCCCCATTTGTTCTCTCCCCCCAGAACAAATGCTATTCTGCGATCTCTTTGGTCAGACTGTGAAAAAAGCAAACAGAAAGGCATGCAGGTTAGCACTCAGTCCTTCATTGCCCAATATATCAAGGGATCTAGAATTCACAACTGGTGATTCCACATCATCACATAAAAGGTTTTCTTTTTTTGCTTTTGGGTTCATAATTCAGAAGTGGCAGCCTAACTAAAGTAATATAATATTGGATATTGCTTCTCCTTCAGATAAGATGGTGAGAAGAATATCTTGCCTAAAAAATTTTGCACTATCGATTAAAATCTGAGGTTAGCTTCCCCTGCTTCAAAATGGGTCTATATATAAACACCTACATCTTTCAGCTTCCTGGCTCATTACTCAAACAGAAATTCTGAATTGACTTTATTGTGTCCAAAAATATGATGACATATGATCTCTTTTCCGACACAAAAGAAGTGTCCCAAGTCACTTGGAGCTGTAAAAATGAAAAAATAAATAAATAAATAAATAAATAAATAAATAAATAAATAAAATCTTTTCAGTTTCATAAAAACATGCTTTAGAAATGTTGGTACCCTTTTCAAAAGCTAATAGTGAAGGTAAGAATCTACTTCCTCCAGAGAAAATACACACAAAAGGACTAATTTTAGAAATATTGGTTGTATTTATTGTTAATTTAAAGGCAGCTATGAAGACATAATTTTCTAAACTGCTAAAGTCAGTTGTCAACTATGTCATCATTTTGTTTGTGTAATAAAAGATTATTAAAAATTGGTTTTCCTGAGAATGCCTTTTCATGCACCCAAAGTGAAGTCAACTTTGTTCCAGCATAAATAATTAGTGATCAGAAATGCCAGAAAGGCTATGAAATGATTTGAATGCTATTCTCATATCATCTCATATATTGCCAAAGTTCCAAACAATGGCAAGATGATACAGTGCTCATATAAATCTAAGCTGTAGAAACTAATTGTTTGTTTTTTTTTTTGTTTTTTTTATTTATTTATTATTATTTTTTTTGTAATAAACAGGGCATATGTTGCAAAGGATAAAGGATAGTTAAATAGTGGAAATTGACAGCATGTACAAATTATAAAGGGGATATTTTATTTCCTCTTGCAAGACTACTTCAATAACATCAGATGGTATGGTTGTTAAAAACAGAATTTCAAAATTTTGTATTAAGCAAGACATTTTAAAATGACATCACGGCTAATAAACTAGGAACACTACTCCAAGATGCAAGATCCTGAATTAGTATATTGATATTTAGACTTTTAAAGAAAAATCAGCAGGTCAAAGGTTTTACAAAAATTGGGAGTCTACCAAAAATGTTCTATTTAATGAATCCCTGTAGCAGTCGCAAACAGATTTAGAAGTGGCATTTTATTATACAAGTGCTAAATACATTTATATGCATTCTGTAAGTATAGTCAATAGTAGCGGTTATTTAAATTTAATTATGAACACCTAATAATAAACCATGATCATATGAGCTGACCCTTAAAGACAGAAAAAAACAAGTCAACGTTCCATCTTTAGCTAATTATAACCCCGTGACGTTGCCAGTTTGTAAGAGCCCAGCTGAGCTCCAGTCAGCCTCCCGTAAAACCAGAAACACTGCTGTGTCGAGAACAGGCAGCAGAAAGAGGAGGAGGTTTTCAGAAAGGCAAATTAGCTGACAGGCATTGAACTACAAACAGCACGACAACGACACGAACACACAAACGTAATCAATCGGACAATGTTTAAAATATGACAACTTAACCGCCTTAACGTTTGGGAATAAAACAGTCGACCTTGCTTTGACAGCTGTCAGCAGGAGACACTATGATCAAATTAAATCGAAGATAAGTTTCAGTTTGGGAACAACGTTTCACATTTAACCAGAAAATATGTATTTTTCATTTTTTTGTCTTTATACTCCTGCGACAGTCGTTGACATACAGCCAGTTATAATTTATAAAGGTGACCAGGGAAGTTTTTTTATCCGTTGCTAACATTAGCAAGCTAGCTATTAACGGCTGTTAGCACAGATGCTAGCTCGCTGGACAGGCTGTGTATGCGGGCGAGTAAAAATCATTTTCACCTTCTGATCACCCCCTTCGACCTCGGAGATGCCTTTTTGTCGAGCTCCTTTGCTTCGGGCTGACAGCGAGAAGATGTCCTTGAAGCGATGAGTGCGGCAGGCAAAGCTTTTCAGAGGCGATTTAATAGCTGACTCGTACAGTGCAGTCGGTCAGCTTTTTTTTTCTCTCTCTCTCTCTCTCTCTCTCTCTCTCCCTTCTCCTGACGTGTCCTGCCTCTCAATGACACAGCTCTCTATCTGCTGCCTCTGATCTGGACTCGATCATCGAATAGCTTTGTTAATGTGGCAGCTGAGCAGGGTTCCCTTTTGAGCCTTATTCGATCGGTTTCATTGTCCGTTTGACTTGGGGTTATTTTTTGCTTGCTGTCTTTCCTACAGAGCCAGCCGATCCTTGTGTGTGTTTCTTGGCTGCCCCTCTCTCCTGGAACCGACCGTGGCCGAATGACAGCGAGAGATCAGCCGAGGCACGCTTCCGCTTCAAGGACCGCCCAAACCACCGTGGCTCCGCCTCCAAGGAGGCACACCTCGATACGCGATTGGACCGGCTAGTCAGTGATCACGCCCAGTTTTTTCATCCTTTAGCAGTCATGCACCAGTAACACACCCATAATATCAATATGTACTGCCCACGGAGGTCAGGAAGACAGAAAAAGACTCCTCCCACCTTTCTCGATGCGGCCGGTAGCAGGTCGTGAGAAAAATGAGTACCCTCGGCCCACTTCCCTTTTAGAAGGATGGAAAGAAAATGAGAATCTCTTTAACCAGGCTTTATCTTTCATCTAATGCTCCTTTGTTGTAAAAGATGGAAGTTAAATAACACGGATTTATATGCAATGCATGCATGATTTTTTATTTATCTTTCAAAATATCTTCTTTCTGTAGCCCAACGCTCTAAACATAATCATCTTTACATTATGGTTCTCACAGCGCCATACAGATTGCTCTTCTCTGCCTTTTTTGTCAGGCTCTATCCTAATTTTCCGATGTTGAATAAAAGATAAGATAAGATAAGATAAAATAAGATAAGATAAGATAAGATAAGATAAGATAAGATAAGATAAAGAACTTTAAAAATAGTGTGAAATTTTGAAGAGAAAGGAAAATGATACATAATTTTTAATGTATTGCCAAACAAATTCAGCCACCTTTCCTCTAACACCTCTGGATTAAGGTGTATTGTTTTGTTTCCTGGTTTTCTAACAGCTTCCATTCGAAAGTAGTTTGTAGAATAGAATACGTATTAGCATCTTTGTTTTTGCACCACTTTAGATGAGGGGCAGTAATTGTGGTGGGTTCATTAGAGGTAAAAGGTCACATGACTCCACATCAGCTACTTAGATAAAGCATAAGTTGATCTGCGTAAGTTCACAGAAATAATAAATATTACAATTTTTTTGCATAAAGGGCACGGAACTGCAACACATTAGAACCAATCATGAGATATGCAACAGAAAGCATGTTAGCAATTGGTGTGATCAAGCAGATCAGCAAAGACATGTGATAATGTGTTAGTTTCGGACTTATCTGTGCAAAGTTTAACATAAAATCAACACTATCACTAATGAACCCAATGCAGCTAAACACAATGTTATATTTTCACACGGGAACTTTGCTCCACTAGAATTACATTTTGTATTGTAACCTTGCAGGTCTTGTTTCAGTTATTGTTGGATTACTAAACACAACCAAATAGAAACAGTGCTATGAAAACACAATTATCCCCATTAACAATTTCCTCTTTTAGTCTTTGCATGTTTTCACACTTAATGTTTAAAATTATTACATGTATCCTAATGTCAGGCAAAAAATAATATAATTCAATACAACTGTTCTTCTGATCACAATTGGTGAAGAAAAATAGTTATCTAAACCAACCTATTTGAACATATGATTGCTCCAAAAAAGTTTAATTTTATCAACCACTTCCAGCCGTGATTACTGTCAGACCTGTAGAATTATCAAATCTCTCAAGTGGAGCCTGTCTAACAACAGAAAGTAGCCTTAAAGCAACACACCATGGCTAATCAAAAACACATTTAAAACAGATGAAATGACATAAATCAGTCTGGCTAAGGGTTAAACACATTTCAAGGGTTCTGACCCTTAGGGAGTGGTCCTGTTCTACTACTTAATGCAGCTTAACTCAGTTCTGTTCGGCTCTACCTAGCTAGTGGAGGGTTAGCTGGAGCTCCAAGGAGGAGCTTTTTGGAAAAAGGCGGTGCTTCGTGAGAGCATTCAGGGAATGCTGTCAGAGGACGTTCAAGGATTTCTCAAACATGTATGTATAAAAGCAAAATTTCATGTTTCATATTGATAAGAGAATAACATTTTAACATGATATAAAATTCAAAAAGTCAATCTTACGTAATATCTCCCCTTTAAAGAGCAGACATGAGAGTATCATCAATCTTCTGATTTTCTAAGACATTAAAGAATGGCCTCATTATGTATGTAAAAGAACGCTACAATCTGCAACGTGCAGTATTCTGTTATTTCTATTGTTTTACAGTGTGACATAAATGATCAACAAATACAACTTATCTTGCAACAGAAATTTCCACAATTCTCTTACTCCACTCTCCTCATGTTTGACAATCCTGACCACATTTCTTCATCCACCCACACTACTCCCCACGTATCTTTATCAGCTTCCCTGTCCTCGTTCCTCAATGTCCTTCCCTCCTGTTTGGTCATTATCACAGAGGTCATCAAGCTGCTTTGACTCTGTCAGTCTGACCGACTCTCAAATGGCAGTATTACATGCAGTTGAAATGGCTATCTAATAAATCTGTCACTTCAAGTCCAGCTGGGAGGGAGTGATAAATTAGAAAAAGCTGCAGTGTCCTGCATTATTAAGCACACACAGGAAGGATGAGCAGGCGAGGGGAGACGATTAAAACAATCCGATTAAAAAAATAGATTACATGTCTGATGATAACAGTTCTCAGCTTCCAAAAATTATTCAGGCTCGTGCATTCCTGTACATTCAAATACACAAAAAGCTGAATATTCTGAAATCACAACAGTAGCTCCTTTAGAATTAATTCATATAAAATAGGCGGGACTGGTTTGACGTTCACTTACACTTATCATGGGCCAATAAAGTTTCCCTAGTGATTTCTCTGGACCATTTAGCTTTAAGTGTTGTATGATTGAACAAACAACTTGGGAATTTTGAAAAGCAGCAACTGAGGGAGGAAGTTTCAGTCTATTAGACAATTTTGAATTCATACTACTGAATGAGTCACAGGTGGTTTTCTTTTAGTTTTGAATGACTTTGATTCCTTCAAACATTATTTTTGCCATTGTGCCCAACAACTTAATCTTTGTCTCACCTGATCATGAAGCTCAAATATTAGTCAAGCTGTAAATATTAGTCAAGCATAAAGATTGTGCTTTTGGAGCAGAAACACATCAAAGCTGTGTTTGGAGCTAATAAATCAGGCTAACATTAAGAATCAGGAATGGCCATAACCTCAGTCCAATTTGAAATTTATGGACTATGCTTAAAAGCAGTGTTGGTGGCAGAAAATCAACCAGCTGAGACATTTTCTCCCACTTGTGCAAAGCAGAGGGGGCAAATGTCCAGCCAGAATTATTTTTTGGTTTTCTTGATGACTACAAAAAGCAAGTGATCAAGATGCAGCTTGCTAATGAACATTTATCTATTTATTAAGGGGTGCAGTGTGGGTCAAACATCTTTGCTTTCATTGAAGTTGTACATGTCATGGCCATTGTTTTAAAATAGCAGTCCAAGAGCAAGACTGAAAGTCCGACAAATAATATGACATCCATGTTAATGATAAATAAAAGCCCATTTTAAACACAAATCTGTCAAGTATGACAAAAATCCACAAATATGCATGTTTTCCGAGAATAATTTGGAATCACGTTCTACAAAACAATCCCTAAATCCTGAACCCACAATCTTCATGCATAATTGTGCAAATATATAATATAAAATACTTTTGATTGGCTAAAGAATATTACAGTGACATTTGGCTTCTTTTGTTTCTCTTTGGTTCTATTTTATTATACGGAACAAAGTCACTTTATAACCTTCATTTCCTTCCCCTCATCTGGTAATCTTCCCTCTGCTCCGCAAACAGACTTGCTCAAGCGAGATCTTATTCATACACTGGAGGATGAGAATCAGCGGGAGGAAGGAGTAATGTTTGAAAGTCCTAAATGTGCTCCAGCTTTGCAGCACTGTTTGCACAGGTTAATGTACTCCTCTCACAGCCGGGTGGATGATTAGGCACAGTGCTAGGCTCTGCAAATGGGACAGAATAACCGGTCCTACTGGCCTCACCTAGAGGACAACACCCTATTCTTGCCACGGACACTTTCTTGATGTTTCACTGTTTGTCTCAGACTTATTTTAAATCAAATTCTCTGAAGCCAGAACATAGAAAAGTCCCAAAATGCAGAGAGAAATTACATATCTAAATACATACATATGAGTGTATAAGGATGTTTATCTCGATGTCGACAGCTTTGCCCCAAAATTCTACTTTGTTCAAAGCCTCTGAGATATGGGATTGGTTGACTGTGTGAAATTGCTAACAGCCAGTTCTGCCATGTGTTCACAATGTGGTTGTTTTGTGTGTTTTTAGGCACATTGCGTTAGCCAATAGTGGAACAGTAGTATGAATAAAACATTAGATCTATTAAAATATTAATCTCCCGTACCTTAGGCATAATTATGGTGCAATTCCTCCCAGTGCGCACAAGTGTGTTTATCACTGCAAGTGTGCACATGGATTGCTCAAACTGATGTCTAGGTGAAAATGTAATTGTTTGACTGCAACAGATCAGGTTCGCAGGGTGAGCAGAAGTAGAAGTGCACTGTGATCACAGGGGTCAGCAGTCCTGTTTAACATGGATATGTGTCCCTTCTATGTCCCAATAAAATTCACAATCATGATTCAACCAATCTTTGTAACTGTAATTTTGCTTAATAAAAATATTAAGCAAAGATTGAAGAATTGCACACAGAAAACTATTTTATCTTGCTAATTAGATTGCATTAAACCATATTTTGTTTTGGAACGGACTACAAAAGCCCAGAGCATTTAAGAATTGATGCTTGTGACTTTAAATGGGAATATTCATTATCTTTCCGTGTATCCCATGCTGTATTGAAACCAAATTTTTGAGGTACATACACTGTATAAAGCCTCTTTTCTCACTGTCTGACATCAAACCAGAATAAACATTTTTGGTCATTTAGAA